GCAGTAATGGGAGTCCGCTGCCGAGTCCTATCATTGAGCCGAACGCGGGACCGCTGAGGAGCCCCTTTGAGGAGAGAGGCGGGAATCCCTTCCATTAGGGCCTATAGCAGTAAAGGACTTTTCCTGTGTCTCTGTATGATTACTGTAGCATGCATTTTGGATTATGTGTAACGGCATGGGGAGAACTGACGTGCTGACAATGCACTGACAACGAGAGATTCCACGGCGCACTAACAATAGGACGATTGTAGAACTGGCACTGTGCTTGGGGCACTTTACATTAATGCTTGGAATACGAAACACCCTCCTCTAGATCTTGCCGACATCTCGATACTGTGGCGGGTGCACCGTCCTAGGCGGCGGCTGCGGGACAAAGGCAGGCCCAGCATCGACCTCGTACTCGCTCTCATTCTCGGCATAGTGCCGCGGCGGTGCGAGTCCCACTAGGCCAGCGAGCCCATTGTTGTTCTGGGGTGTTCCTGGTGTCCCGGATCCAGGGGGGTGGGGGAAGTATCCGGGCGAAGGCGAGTCGGACGGGGTGCGCTGTGGCGAGTTGGGACTGAGCATCGCGTCGAGCTGCATCACCTTTATCTCTGGGCTTGGGTCGGGAGCCCCGCTGGCATCGGCGCGGACGAGGGTGGGGTGTTGTGATGCCGACGCTGAGCCCGCGGAGCCTCCAGCTGAAGAACCAGACGAGCCAGCGACCACGCCGGCTGCCGCGCCAGTTCCGGACAGACCGGCCGTGGCGATTGTGGGCTGCGACGCACCCGCCTGCCGCGTGGTCGTCTGGTCCTCATACTCGATCTCGCTGTATGGCCGGTTCTTGGCTTGCTTCTTCAGCCGCCCGATCCAGACCAGGAGCCCGGCCACGATCGCCGCGCCGAGCACGCCGCCCACGACGCCGCCGGCGATCTGGCCCGTGTTGCTCGTGCTCTTTTCCTCGGTGGCCTGGGCTGCGGCGTCGCTTCCCGCACTACTTGAAGGGAGCACGGTCGAGAGGACCGTCTGCGTCACCGTCTTCTCCGAGACTGTCGCATTCGTCGTTTGACCGGGGAAGAGGTAGAGCGGACAAGTGTGGCCCGGGTTGGCACGGACGAATTGCCGTATGGACGCGTCGCCGGGGATGGCTTCTGGTTCCCCCGAAGAATCCTGGATCCAGAGCTCGAGGTCTGTACCCGCCGGCAGGTCGCAGTAGAACCGATAGGAAGTCGTGTTGAGGTGCTGCTGCAGGGTGCGGAACTTGCGGTCGTTGTCCGGGCCAATCTTGGCCTTGACTGCGTACGGCGGCTCGCCGTCCGCCCACGTCAGGAGCGACTCGTTGCACACTGTGTATGTTGGCTCGGCGCTTATGAACGTCACGGGCTTGGCGGTGGCCAGTTGGAGGAGTGGTAGGCCCCCACACAGAATGGAGGAGAGGGACAGCATGGTGAGTGTGAGACGAGGATGGGCGCGCGCATTGGCACGCAAAGGCGGCACTTATATCTCCTCCTGGTGGGGGCAGATGCCACATTCCCCTGGACACCCCTCCGTCTCCTCCCCTCTGCCTTTACGAGGCGAGGACATCTCGATTCGGATACTTGACTACTACTCTTGAGCCAAAGCTCCTCCTTGTTCTTGTCACACTGGCGTGCCCCCGCTCCTGTCACCCCCCCCTCTGTGGCACCACTCTCTCGCGAATATCCGGACCCCACAGCGGCCAATCTGCCGATGACCGCCGCAGCCAAACTTTGAGTTTGCCGATACAAAACGACGATTAAATTATTGAGAAGGAAGGGGTCAACTTCATGTCTGGCCGCGCGGATCCTGCCTGACCCGAAGCCTCTCATGCCCAGTGACAGTTGGGACCGTGGGCACCAGTGCGTATTGTGGACGTTGAACGTCTCTGCGCGTGACGTTTTGTACGGCAACTGTACCTACCCTCCCTTCCGCCTTCGTCCGGTTCCAATTTGAGCAGCCCGGGCTTCCGAGCCTCCGGGCCCCGGCACACGGAAGGTGTAAGGTTTGCGGCTCGCGTGCGAGCATACTTGCACTTCTGCAGCTTCCATTACGTCGCGGGCATTACGGTTTGGGCAGTTGCATTCATGTCCACGCCTCTCACGGCAGGCAGATGAATCAAGCGGCCAGGCTTGAAGCTTGACTTGCGTCATCTCCACTCGACCACCGCTGCCAGAGGAAGCTGCCTGGGTAGCTGCCTGAGGAGCGGTCGGCGAGGTCCAACACCATCGCACATGTACCCTGGAGCGGTATTGGGATGATCGCCGAAAGTATCTGTCAGAGGAGGGTGGAGGATTGGAGGAGTCGAGAGTCTCGTTGAGTGAGGCTGCCAGGTCAAGTTCTGGACATCTTGCCCTTTGCTCGCCTGAGCTTATCGCAGAGACCGCACAGGGGGGAGGAGTTCAATTGCGTCAATTGTTGCGCGGAAGGGAGAAAGGAGAACAACACAGCACAGTCTGGCCCCGGGCATGCCGGGCACTTGCCTCGATCGCTGTCCGTGTCAGCATCACTTGGTTCGAGACTAACAAGTATCTCACGAAACAAGCTCTGCTGGGGAGAGCGTCGCCTACGTCGCGTCGCAAGATTCATAGCGGGGATCATTGGCCCGAACACTGTTCCCATCTGCTTTTTGTCAATGTAAACGCTGAAGTTGCTCTGATGTACTTGTCCTCACACGCAAGCTTGTCAGGTGTATTAGATCAGCCCATGGTCCACTTCAACCCCGCCGATCAGTGGTTCTGCAGCGTCGGTGCCACACCCACCACCACCAGGTACACTCGGCACGGCGATGCCGGCGTGCCCGGCGTGCCCGACAGCGGCGTACCTGATTGCGCATTTATTCCATTGCGCAGCCTCCATTTCGGAGCCGAGAGTCAAGCTGCTTCACGGCATATTAGTAGCTTCACGTCCTTGCTATCTCCGTAGAGTTGCCGGCAATAGGCAACTGTCAGCCTCGACGAGAGGTGGGGAAGGACTTCCGTCGGCATTGTAGTATTGTAGTTTGGGATGTCATTCCGCTTGTCGATGTCCTCCTCTTCGAGCAAGGTGCCACGAAACAACAGAGGCACCGCACCGCATTCGAACCCACCTGCTGTACCCCGACTGTGTTCAGACACTCTCGGCAGATTCAGCGGAGGTGGCAACTTCGGCTCGTCGCCCGAGGACCCAAGGCTGCCCTCGTCCCTGTGCGTAGTTCTCGACGCTGCCCCTCGCAGGGGGTTAGAGGAAGCGCAGGAGGCACATTCAGGCGATATGAGTACGATGCAAACGATGTCCCCACACGCGCTCTCAGACACGAGAGATCGAGAGATCGAGGGGGCTCATCTCGCGGCAGTGTCCAAGTCATGCCCCCCAGGACACGGTTTGACTTCGGGGTGCCACATCGGTGTGAAACGCACCCCTCTAGGTCGCTCTACCTCTCTGTGTCCCTCTGTGCTTCCTGTCCCGAGCCGCGGCCAGGCGCCAGGCCATACTTCAGCTCCGCGACAACACGGGTTATGCACAATCGATACATATGAACAGAAAAGCTGGAAGCTGGGTGTCGGATGAGATGAGTCGGATCGGATCGGGGTCATGAATGGGTTACAGTATCAAGGTCATGGTCTAGGCTCTAATGAAGTGCTATTCGAAGAGCCAGCGCTCCTCGCTTCCGTCCTCGCTGTCGTGGGTTTCTTCCTGCTTGGGTGGTTCGCTGCCGCTGGCGCTTGCCCCTCCTCCCTCTCCTTCCTCCGCGTCCTCTCCC